CAGAACAGCACCTTAAAGCTCTTAAATGCTTATCTCTGGTACTGTCTGTCAGGGGACAGCTCAAATTCAATACATCAGAGGAGCATAGTGCTGACATGTACAAAAGTGATTTACCTAATCCTGACACGCTCTCTGCTGAGCTGCATTGTTGCAGAATCAAGTGGAAACACAGAGGGAAAGATATAGAACTTCCGTCCACTATTTATGAAGCCCTTCATCTGCCAGACATCAAGTTTTTTCCTAAAGTTAATGCATTGCTGAAGGTCCTATGTATTCTTCCTGTGATGAAGGTTGAGATTGAACGCTATAAAATGGGTGAAAGAGTCTCAAAGCATACCTGAGGAACACTTTGACAGACCAAAGGTCAAGGAACTTGGCTTCGCTTAACACAAATTTTGATATAAAACACAATTTGGATTTAATGGTGGATACATATATTAAACTCTATACAAGTAAGTAAGAGCTTCCTACAGATAATTCAGAAACCACTGAAAATACTTAAGAGACTTTTAAAATAGGCTTTCTCTTATATTTGATATTTGAAAAAATCTGTAAGAAATTTGACACTATCTTACAGAAAAGTTGTAAGGTGTACGAAGGCCACTTAATCACTGAATATCTTGACCTGTAGGCCTCCCATTGAGTACATTAGTCATTGATAATCTGCCTGTTTAAATGGCCTGTTTGAAGTCCCATGCTTTGGAGACCTAACTCTTCTTCCAGAAGATAGCATTGAAAGTACCACGTTACGCTCTGTGTGATCTCTGCTAATGGCACTTTGGACTTGTATTAGTTAAGTCATTTTACACATAACATTTATCACTGTGGATCCAGATGTCAGGTACTGAGTTACCAGTTCTTTGAAGAAATAAATTTTGAGGAGGTATGGGAGCAAGGAATACATTTTATAAAACATTACAATGAAGCTCATGACTGACCTTTGAATAGTAGGAGTTTTAAGTATGCTGTTAAAAATCTGTAAGGGACAGTTAAGAAAATTATCAGACTGTAAGAGAAACGTGTGAGTTCGCCAAACAAGGATTTCAGCGTAGATTTTGTCTTTATCAAATGAAGTTAAAGGAACAAGTTATAGTTAAAGTTTGAAAGGAAGAGCCTGCCATTGTTGTTCCACATCTGGTTGTTGCTGTTTACATTCCTTTATTGAGCCTCATCTTCATAAGCTTTTTGGCAGGTATATGTTGAACACTTCTGTTTCATGGTCAAGACAGGATCAGAGGCCATGGATACTGACAACCTGTTTGTCTGTTTTCTTCTGTCTTTTTCCATGACTGTATCTACTGCCCCATCTTGATTTACAAGCAAAACCTAGAAACTACAAAAATAAGTGTTTTGTGGTTTATCTAGGAATAATACAGAAAATATCGCCATTATTTTTGGTGAAGAAAATCAATTTTGTATAGCTTATTTCAACCTAAATAAAATGTGAATTTTGTTTAAAAAAAAAAAAGAAAAGAAACAGCCTGGGATTTCAGAGATACTAATGTGTGGAAGGAAAGCATCTTAGAGTCAACAAAATGGTTTAGCAAATTAAAAATCCCCAATTGTTTTTTTCCTCCAACAGAGGGGCATCTGCAAAGTTGTATCATCGAGGACTCAAAGTGAGCTGTGACTCTCTGCGTGAGCTGGTGTGCTCATTTTGCTTATTGGACATGCTTGACCATCAGAGAGGGCTGCTAGCATTCTTCTGGGTGGGAGGAGACTTAAATTTCAAGGGCAATGGCTGTCATGCTGGCATTTGGGAACTGGGGCAGTCAGTTGTGCTTTGGGGCAGATAGAGTGTTTGAATGTTCTCCTGTGTATTAAGTAGGAGTCGCAGCCCTAAAACACCCACTTAATTGGTTCTAGTCTGCCTTCTGGGTGTGTGTGGGATAAATGGAACTCCTCATGCCCGCACACTGTGAAATGTCAGATCGTTGTCCGTCCTTCCCTTCTCTTGCTTTCTTCAACCATTTCCCAAAGCTTCTCAAGGATTGTAATGAACTTGAATATTATACAGGTATTGCACATGCATTTTGCTATGGTCTGAATGTTTGTGTTTTTCTCTCTTGCCCCCAATTCATATGTTGAAACCTAGACCCCAAGGTGATGGTGTTTTGGAGAGGTGATTAGGTCATGAAGGCCTTATGAATGGGATTCGTGCCTTTATAAAAGAGGCTCCACCATGTCAGGATGCTGTGAGAGGCTGGTGGTCTGCAACCCAGAAGAGAGCCCTTCGTAGAATGTAACCATGCTGACATGTTGATCTTGGACTTCCCAGCCTGAAGAACTGTGAGAAATAAATTTCTGTTATTTGAAAGCTACCCAGTCTGGTATTTTGTTATAGCACCTAAACAGACTAAGACACATTTATTGTTTACAAAATAAGAATGAAATAGCTACCACTTGCAGAGTGCTACTATAGCTGCCATCGTGCTAAGCATTCTATTTATATTGCTGGATTTTTTGCTCATGACAGCCCTCTGCGGTAGGTATAATTATTGTCCCTTTTAATGATGACAAAAACTGAAGCTTGGAGAGGATTAGTAACCTTCCCAAGGCCATACAACTAATGAGAAGTGGATCTGAGTTTCAAAATCAAATCTCCTTGTAATTAACAGCAATTTTTATACAGTTCTTATAAGAAACTTGTGAAAGTGATATAATAAAAATCGATCCAAATGAGCAGAAACTTCTCTTTTAAATCGGTGCCCGAAGGACATTATGTACTTATTCCAATAGTTCTGTTATTCAGGACACTTTTGGAACCCCCTTTTGGAATTGTCTTCAGGGCCTGCGCTTTGAGTATCCTATTCAAAAGGATAATCCCTATTCATCCTGTGAGGTGAGATTTGACTGTTTAAAGGACCCTAACGAGGCAGGTCTGCTGACTAAGGCGTAGGATGACTGTGATCAACCGGGCGACATACTTTTCAGTCATTTAAGAAAAGACCACGGTTTTCTTGAGTTGGGTGTAAACTAAAGCAGAAACATCCTTGGGATATGTATGATCTTCCTTGGATTATGAGGATTTGAGGGATATAAGACATTTATGGAAATGCAACTGTCAGAGGTGAAAAAACAGCACCCACACTGACTTTCTTTATCAATATTAGCAATTTGAGTTGCACTTACATTTTGTTGGTACATATCAGGGGCCCCCAAATTTTAGTTGCTCAAGGCAGTATATGGCTCCTGGAAGTATTCTGTGTGATGCTTTTACTGTACCCACACAATGTGTTAATAGGCTGTATAACTGGGCAGATTTTAGGTTTGGTGGCCATATAAGCAGTTTAATCTCAATTGTCCTATGTCTACCCACTCGGGGTGCTTATGTTAATCCCATGCCCACTGAAGGCATTTGGACTTTTGATTCCTGACGTTCAAATTCTTTTGTCTAAAAGAACTCTGAACAGTAAGCATTACTCTGCTCAAAACAAAACAAAACAAAACAAAAAACCTTAGGAGATTTCAAGTCCCAGTTCCAACACCCTTTAAGCTACTCCGAGCTAAAAATAATTCTTCCTTTTCCTGAATTTCTATAAAACTTCAGTGATCCTCACTTTGCAGCCTTGATCAGCTGTCTTCTGTCTTAGCTCTTTAGGAAGGGTTCCTATCTTATTTCAGAGGGAGTGTCCTTTATCAGCGGAGGTGCTCCTGTGGAAATGACGCTTGGGCTTGCCAAAGAGATCCGCTTATTATCTGAAACAGCCAAAAATACTTCCATGTGTTTGGACCTTTTACTTTATACTTTCCCTTTGCTCCTTTGCCAGCCCTGATTGCCTTGATTTAGAAATCAGTCTTGGGTTCTGATGCTTTATTGACCCTGCCTAGTTTTGATGAATCACTTACTCACAACCAGAGTCCTCGTGTTAACTTGCCTGGGATGATGTTGGCTCCATTCATTCCGGGCTTTGGTGACTTAGCTCTGCTTCTCAGTATATGATCCTGAGCTGCGTCCACGTCTTATCCTGGGGATGCTACACGAAAGGAACCATATTTATCACCATGGGAAGAATTGGGACAGAGTTGAGGATGGGAGTCCTGTTTTCGTACGTAGTCCCCTGGTACCAAGCACTGTTCTTTGTAGACAGATTCTTGATAAAAATTTGTTAATGGAATAAATGAAAATCAAAGCAGTTATAGTAGCATCTCATGATGTGGAAAGGGAAGTACAATTCATCTAGTGCTGAATATGCTTCTTCTTTACATGAGGCATCGTGGTAGGCATTGAGAATTCAAAGATGAAAAGATAAGGAGTTGGCACTCTCCTGGAACTCTAGAGTTCAAGGAAAAGTGTGGGTGGTCAGCTTGGACAGAGATGATAGAGAACCTATTAAATTGTAGGTCTTAATCCCGGGTCCAGGTTCAAAAAAGTCTTGAATATGTTGGGGGGGGTTGCAATTTCCGAGCTGGAAAAATTCTTGAGGACTTGGGTCTTGATGCCAGGCTGCAGAACGATGGCTTCTGAGGGAAGAGGGGGGCAGGTGAAGGATCTGGCAAAGGATAAATGTCAAACCCATTTGAGGTCATGAGCAGGTTTCCCAGGGCTGCTCATTCTACATTTTGGTTAAATTTTCCTGGGCTACTTGTTAGAAAAGGAGATTTTTTTCATATTAAAAAAAAAAAATCACATGGCGTCCTGGAGAACAAGGTCTTTTACTAGCATGACATGACTTTTAAAATACTGAAATCTGTTGTGAAGTGCAGCGGAGGTTCTGAATTCTTTTTGGAAACAGGGCCCCAACCTTACTGGTAAATTTGTGCTTTTACTTAAGATCACAGATGATGTGGTCATCATTTTTTGATTATGAAGCAAGCTCTAAGAAAATAGAACAACTGAAGTGATCTTCCTCTCTCTAAACTGTAAGTTATCTTTCACAGCATCTCATTGGAGAGGCAACCTTGAGGGCTAATGTAACTAGGTTATCCTCTCATCTAATCAACATGATTAACTGTCTGGCTTCCGTGAGTGACATGAGCCCAGAGTGGGGTGGAGGGAAATGTGGATGAATTGCATTTTGAGGTCTGGGTTGCTGTTTGTCACTCTGTCTCTTGCCATTGCCAAGCACAAGCAATCTTCCTTCGCTGCAAGTTGCTACCCAAGGGGAACACTGTCCCAAGCTGTTGATACGCTCTATGTCAAGGCAGCAAGGCTCAAAGCAACAATTCCAATAAGTATTAGGCTCTGCTTAGAATGATGACCAAAGGGACGTTTGAAATTCTGGATAAATCTTATTTTTCTTTGTTTTATTGTAGGAAGATCGCGTAAAAAAAGTACAGTTATTAAAAAGGAAAACAAAGAAGCTATTTATGGTAAGCCAGAGGGTCTTTTTCTTTCTCACATTTCTACTTGTTGGATGCTTTTATTTCCTTGCATTTTATTTTTTCCAGATGGTCATGAAGTAATAATTGGGGGATGCTTCAGTGTCATTTTACGAAAGCTACTCATAGTTTACTTTATGTAATTTATTCTATCTTATTTATAGAAAAACTGCAGATTCCAAGAACTACTGTCCTTTTTCATGGAAGATGTTTTTGGTCAACTCCAATTACAAGTTTGCAAGGAAATACACTTTGTGGAAGACTTTCACAGCCTTAGGCAGAAATTGAGCCACTGTGCAAGTATGCATAGCAAATAGGTAAATTTGATCCTAGACATCTATCCAGAAAACAGCATGTAGGAAGTTGTCTTCACCCCAAAGAGTGGGTAAAGGGGTTTTCTAATTGTTGGCTTGTAGTCCAAATGGAGAGTCCATCACCAGGGA